ATATTTTATCAAGCATTTTCATTATATGACCATATCTGCAACTGCGCAGTTTCACTCTACTTCAGTCTCACATGACCTAAAATATATTGTAAATAGAGTTAAACTCGTCTTCAATAGCCTCCTGTGAACTGCTCATGTGCAATACGGACATTAAGCTAAAAACCAGCCAGCAAACACGGCGGCTGTTTTTCCACTGATAGCTTCACAATAATCTGTGCAGCTTATACAAGGAACCCTCGAGACGTAATTGACGTTTAACCGCCAAACACTCAGCGTATTTATCAATTAGAGCGCTTTTCGGGTTCCACATGTATTTCCAGATACTTCCTAGCAAATTTAGGATAAAATGTCTTAGAAGCTACTTAATTTTGGACTGGTTCTAAAAATTCCTGGACACGGAATTTTCCCGAATTTTTGAATTTCTAAACGAGAAAGAAAAGTGGAAGTTATCGAGTGGTAAGAATGTTAACGGTCATTCGGGCAGTTTTGAAGAAATGGCACACATATATCGAACAAATGCAGCTTACCGAGTAGAAGCACTCAGTTCAGAATCCAATACCGTTTCTGTAATCTAATTTTTTTAAGCCAGGGCTTTCGTTTTTGGAATTTCTGGAAGAGCCATATGTTCCACACAAAGGCCAGACACAGATGCCAATGTGTACTGCATAAAAAAGTTCTAGTTGTGCAGGTGTAAATTGGTACACAGATGGATTTCTATGGTGTTCTAAGAAAACAAAAAAAAAAGAAACCCATGTGCTTTAATAGCTTGTCCGTGCTCCAGTAAGTCATCGTAGTAGGCGCTATCCAATCCGAGCGCTACCAGCACAAGGTCTGGCTGATATTCCAGCGCAATCGGAATCACCAGATGTTGCAGGGCGCCGATGTAATCGCCCTCGGTGTTCAATGCGCAGTTCAGTGGAATTGATACAACATTTTCTGTAACAGGCACAAAATGAGGGAGAATGAAAGCTGTTTCTGCGAGAGCACTCGCCTACAAAGAACAGGGATATCATTTTGGAAAAAACTGAAGCAAATTTTTTCTCATAAAAGTATGTAATCCCCGAGGGTAGTACGGAACATTTTCAAAAGCTCCACACATCTAAAAAAGTCCAGCACATATACGTGGTTCATAGCTAAATTATCTCTGTTCATTTTTCCGTCTCAGTATTCGGAGGAGCAGCACAGCACTCGAAATTTCACTCTTTCAAAAAAACGA